TGGCCAAGTAAAGCAGCCATGACTTGATGAAGAATTGATGATCAGCACTCAGAATGCCCAGGGATGAAGTTCACGGTCACTCTACCTAAAGCTAAAGGAGACTGCTTCACACAAGGTTGCAGCACTCAGATGTCTTGCTGTGTGGAGAGGAACTGATGGACAGCCATCTGTGTCAACCACTGTGTTTGTGCCAGGGATAATCCTGGGTTGCTCCTATCACTGTCTGAACACAGTGGGGCACCTGTGCATGCTCCTTGCTGGGCCCATATGGTGACACTGATACTCTGGGTCATTTACTCCTGCCACATTGGTGACTTCTGCTCTTGGTATGAGACCTGAAGTGCCAGACAGCAGCATTGCTTGGAGTTTTTTGGGCCTCTTTCCCTGTCTCTTGAAGTGCTGTCAAGATCTAAATCTGCAGTAGGAAAACTTGTAGAGACTAGAAGTTCAAACTCCCTAAATGGCTCACTGGAAATAACATCAGGCAGGGATACTTCCACTTCCAGTGCTGGAGATATTTAGCACATTATAATTTTTTTTAAAGAATTGTACTCTATTTTACAACCTGCTATTATGTAGCCAGTATTTTATGTATATCCAGGTGACTGCATGAATTATATTCATTGTCTTTAAAATTAAACATGATCTGAGCCGGGCTCGGTGGCCCAGCCTATAATCCTGCACCTTTGGGAGGCTGAGGTGAGTGGATTGCCTGAGCCCGTGGGTTCAAGACCCGCCTGGGCAGTGAGACCTCATCTCTACAATAAATCAAAAAATCAGCCGGGCATGGTACGGCATGCCTGTAATTCCAGCTACACGGAAGGATTGCCGGAGCCCAGCAGGCGAGGCTGCAGTGGCCGGGAGTGGCCACTGCACTCCAGTTTGGGCGACCAAGTGAGACTCCAACTCAAAAAAAAAAGAAAAAAAAGAAATTAAACATGATCTTATATCTTCCATTCAAAACTTTTTAGAAAAACTGTCCAATACTCCCTAATCTCTTTAGATTATTCTTTATCCATCTTTCCTCGTATACTGAAAAACTTTATAATTGGTTTCTATTTGCCTCTTATATCTCCTTTTATGTTAATGTCTTATAAAGTGGGCAGAAGGAAATTTTGGGAGATGATTGTTATGTCTCTGACCTTGATGGTGGCAATAATGTATACTCACCCCCAAACTCACAAGTTAGATACATTAAATACATACAGCTTATACTTTTCCATCATACCTCAATGATGTGATTTAAAAATTAAGATCAAAAAAATTTTTTTGAAAAGAACCTCTTTGCCACCATAACAATTTAGACACTAAATGACTCATTAAATCTCCAAAGTTACTTTAAGGGAGGCACATCACAAGAGATGACTACTAAGTTTACTTCCTTATACAAATTAAACTTTCCTCAGGGGAAAACCTTTTGACTTTTTAACTAAACCAAGAAAAGAAGTTTCTCCTTAGAGGAAATAAATCCATCTTCCCCTATTATTTGTCTATGTAGACACAAAATTGATTGACAGTTTTCCACTTCGCTAACTTCTTAGTACCCTAGTGGATTTAAATTGTTTGCAGAGTGGAAAGACAATGGTACAATTTATTTAATGATGATCTCTGAGAATTCAACCCTTGAGACTCTAGAAATTTTAAACTTACGCCCATTGTTCTTCACCTCAATTATGTGTTCCCAACCTAGGTAAAAACCCAACTGAGTTTTCCAGGAACAGATCATGGAGAAGAGAAAGCTTCAGTGATATCCACCAAAGAGAGTCAGTGTGACCCAGTGAGTACTGGTGGAGTAAGAAGGAAAAGAGAGAAAGAGAGAGCTAGGTTTTACTTCTAGAGTGATGAGATTGGAGAAGTCCCATACTGATTTAGTCTATGAAGGGGAAGTTCTATACTAAGAAGGTACTTTAATTTTCACTGGAAGTTGTCCTTGTTTTCCTTGTGTTCTGAGAGTTTCTTGTCCTGGCTGCTGATCATAGTCATGGCTATTAAATTTTTCCAAACACATTTTTTTTTTTTTGCATTGGGATTGCAGTTAAGATTTATCTTCATTGACCTATGTTTGTGATGAAGTGTGTTAACAAACATTCTAACATTCTCCATTCCTAGAATAGTTATTACTTGTTCACCATGCATTATTCCTTTAAAATATAACATATATTTTATATGTTCCTTACCTTACTTCAATCTAGTGTCTATAGTCAGGCATGTGATGAGCTTGAAGATTTCTGTTTTGTGTCATTGTAACTTTTGGTCTCATTCTTTACTGTACATCTGATATTTTTATTTCCTGAGCACCTACTATGTGACAGATACCATGTGCATCCCTGGAAATTAAAAGGATGAGACAAAATAGTCACAACCTCAGATCCACAAATAAACAAAAAATTACCGTCACAATAGGAACATCAGGAAAGAGTACAGGATGCTCTGTTGTAGAACTCACACCTGCGCCTCCTGACCCTAGTTTTCTGCTCTCCTTTCACTGGCCTCTCAAAGCCCTATTACTAAGATCACTGGTCATATGCAAATGTGCATTCCATTCGTCCAGCCTGGAATGTTGATTCTTCCCTTACTTCCCCTAGTTCACAATGACCCATCCTTTCTCCCTCAGCTCAAATGCTCATGTTTCAGAGAAATCTCACCTACCCAACGTCCCAAACTAAATTGGTCTTACATTATTTTTTGTCTGTATTTAAGTAATTAAGCTTCTCTGGACATTAATAATAATATGGACCATTTTTTCTTTTTATTTTACTTTAAAGATGTGGGGTACAATTCAGGGTTAGGTTTACAAATGTTCATTATGCAGGTACCATGATTGATGAGTGCGCCCCTCCTCCCCTGACAGTTTCCTCAACTGCCAATCCCACCCCCTTCCCACTATTGCCAATCCCTTT